GGGAGCCTCAATTTCTTAGTGACCACCTGTGATATACATACAACGTAAGTAAAAAATTACCATCTTTTTTAAGCCACTAGCTAAGTTTGGGGTTATTTCTTATTGCATCGTTATTAAGCCTGTCCTGACTAACACAGCAGTAAGTACCTTAAAGTATAAGAACTTATCTAGCAAAAATTTTAGGGTAGCTTTAACATGAACCTTTTTAAAGGTAGCATGTGAACACCTGGCTTGTTAACTAGGATCTTATAGATTCACGTTCCTTTCTCTCTGAGGAGTTTTGCTGTTATGATTTAGGTTTCTAATGTTCCCCAAAACTCTGATGCACTCAGAGGCAGAGCTTTTGAAAGGTGATTGGATTGCAGGAGTACTATACTCACCGGTAGATCCACACTAGTGAGCTCAGCCGCTGAGTGTGCTGTGAGGCAATGAGGGACCTGGTTAGAGGAGCGCTGTGGGGGCAGGACCTAGAGGAAAGTCACTCCCTCCCAGCTCCTCCTTTCCCTTTCTGCTTCTTGGCTGCCATCCTGCAAGCAGCCTTCTCCCGCAGACCCTTCCAAGTATGCTATGTCTGCTTTGGAGCCAGACGACCGAGAATGAAAACCATGAGCCACAATAAACTTCTCCTTCAAGTTGTAGGTGTCACATGTTGTGTCTTAGCAATAAGAAAGTGACTAAGACATTTACCGAGGAATTATGAGGTTATCACAATTGATGATGATCTATAAAGTATGATGAAACCACAGGCAAATTGCTTAAATCCAGAAAAATCTGAGCAGGCATGAGTTTTGAGACTGGTAGATTAATTTGGTGATACCTATGGAGAGAAGCTGTTTTATGAAAGATGACTCCTGCAAAGGGTTGGTGCTGCAACCCACACAGCCCGGAGGTTCCTTGGGTGAAGGACTGTGAGAAGATAAGAAAAAGAAGAGAACAGCTGGCGTTAGGTGGGGTCCTTACTCCCTGGATAAGAGGAAAGGAACTGCCCCCTCACTGCAGAGGTATGTATTTATACAGTTTAGCACCTTAATGTCATAGGACACCCTGTTGTCCTAGCAACCCACTGTTCCAATTGTCTTGTGGCTAGGTACCCCCTGGGCTGAAGCAGCTTCTACAAGTGACTTGCCCCAGGCACTCTTTGTTCTTGGGATGCCATGCCCAGCCCTGCACAAGTGGTCAATCTCCAGCTTCAATGGTTCCCAGCAGGTTGGAGAGAGGCTGTCTTCATTTTGAGCATCTACTGCTCACTCTACTCCACCTAACCTACAGCTATTCTACTCCCTCATTAGTCAGGTTCTTAATGGGTGTGCTCCAGAGTTGGCTCATTTTAGAGTACCATTTTTTTTTTCTTTTTCTCTTTTTTATCGGTACTGGGGATCGAACTCACGCCTGCTTGCAAGGCAGGTGCTTATGCCGCTGAGCTAAATCCCCAGCCCCTGGCTCATTTTAGAATGCTATTGTTAGTATAGTAAGCAAGGATTTTCCTCCACAAACTGCTTGGTACAAGAATTGTTTTATTTCTAATAATCAAATCAACTTTGTTGACTAGCTACCAGTCACCTGAGAGGTGCAATATTTGATCTCAGCTGTCTTGGGGGTGGTCCTAGCCCTCCTTAGAATTGCACAAGAATCCAGGAGGTACAGGTGGCTCTCAGCAAAGGGCAAAGAAGTTTCTGGTTCTTATCATTGCTGCTATGAATCTCAACATCCCAGGTCACAGAGACAAAGAGAGGGCAGCCCCCTCTCTCCATAGCAAATTATGAGGACGCTTTTCCACAATCCTCCAGGCTAAAACTGTCCCCAGGTGAACACATTTCCATCCAACAAGAGGTCTGTCATTGCAAGAGAAGCTTTATGGAAGCAGGGTACAAGTCTGTATCACTCCAAGAATAAGCCTCAGGGGTGGCTTATTTCTCCTTTCTCCCTTTTTATAGAGCTTATCAAACAACAGGTGTCTGAGTGTTCTTGGGCACACAGGAGAGAATGATGAATCTACGTGAGTTGCTTGGAAGCTCCTGACAGATACACAATGTGCTTGTGGAGGCCTGAAGCCTGAGTTCTTATCATGAGTCTCTGCCTCACCTCCATGACCACAAACTCTAATCAGTCTCCTTGACCTTTAACCCTCAGGAAGTCTTCTGGTGTTTTAAAATGTCTGGATTTAGTTGGTCACAATAAGACACAGAGCACTAGAGACGCTGAGGCAGGAGGATCACTTTGAGTTTGAAGCCAGCCTGCACTACAAAATGAGGTCAAGGCCAGTGTCTTGGTCAAATTTCTTTCGTTGCTGGGACAAAATATCCAGCACTCAAAATTAAGGAAGGAAAGGTTTATTCAGCTCACAGTTTGTGGAGGTTTCAGTCCATAATCAGCAGTCTTCAAAGCAGGGTGGCACGGCACAAAGATAACACTTCAAGGTGACAGAAGATAGCAAAAGCAGCAACAGCAAAAAGGGGAGGAGTAAGGCTCTGTTTCTCCCTTATATTGTAAGCAGGCTATACCACTTCTGTGTCCTCCTCTTGCACAGGTTGAGTATGTTTACAAAGGACAGACCCTGGCTCTCTGCTGAGTAGTGTAGCTAAACTTCTAACCTTCTGAAGTTGACAGTGTATCAACCACTACAGCCAGCCTGCACTGCATAGCAAAACCCTGTCTCAAAAAGAAAGAGAGAGAGAGAGAGAAATTACTATCATTAAAGAAGTTTGTACTCACAGATCCCTAGAAATAGATGGCACAGTCTTCCATGCAGGGAGTCACACAGAAGACCCAGGGTGGGTCAGGAGGGGCCAAAGCCCTTACTGTGGTTTCCACAGGAGGGAATGAGCAAAACTGGGTAAGCAAGTTTAGGATTACCTAGTCTGACTAATATCAGTGGATTTTAGGGTATAGAAGCTGTCTTTAGTTGTCTGGTACTTGACCTGACAGTGCCTGGGATCCTTGAGAGACTTCAGTAAAAGAGTCGGGTGTGGGCTCTGAATTGGCTGATTTGCATATGAAAGCTCACTTGTAGACAAATCTGACTACCTCTGGGGACTGCCTATTCGTGGAGCTAACATTCTCTCCAGTTTCAGCAGGGCCCCAGATGTCAAAACATCAAAAATACAAAGACAGGATGAATACACCTGGACTAAACCTTTCTTAGGAAGGTTTTATTCCCAGCCTTCTCAGCTCAAAGGATTTGCTTGCACCTGAAGGAGAGATGTTGGTCCTGGAATCCACCATCAGTCACTTCCTCCTCTTGTCCCATGAGTCTAGCTGCAGGTGCTGAAAGCATTTAGCTCAAAGTTCAGCAATGCCATGGTCCAGGATCCATAAGAATGCCAGCTAGGACATAAATAAGCAGTACCATATCCACCAGAGAAAAGTCTGGAATGCTTGGGTAGCCCTAAACCCCAGGCCCAAGGTGTGTCAGGAACCCCAGTCCCATAGGCTGAGAGCCCCTGAAAACAAGAGAAATCCTAGTTTGCACTTAGTTCTCCACAGGAGCAGCCCCCCAAACCTGACCCCTCATCTTGGCTCTTGCAACCACTTCTGCCCTACCTGACATCCCACGGAAGCTGGATCATTCTGTTGCTTTTCTTCCCAACCCCAAACATGAGTACAGATGGACCATTCTGTTACCACACCTGATGTCTCCTGGCCACACTATCTGTGTGTCACAAAGAAGCATGTTCCTGGGCACCGTCAGAGAGAATCAGAAAATGACAGAAAGTTTTTTTGGTTTTTATTGCTAGTTTTCTATCCAGGGGATGAAAACAGTCTTTAAACAGTCCAACTTTGCCTCTGCCCAATTAAATAGGCAAGTTTTAAAAGAAGTCCTATTTCCAGCCAACCAAGAACAGTTGCAGTCATAACCCTCTCCCCACACCACCCCGGAGCAGAGTGTCGAGGAGGCCAGGGCCTAGAAAGCACTAAAAGGAGCCTTTTCCTGCTATCACTGAGGCCACTAGTTAACTTGGGGGCTGCCAGGGAAGGGAAAAGAGTGGGGGGAGTTCTTAGACAGGAAATGGTTCTGCCTCCTGGTGTGGGTAGGAGCAGTAGTGAGCATCTCTTTCTAGCTCTGCATCAGTGAAGTTACACTGGGAGAAGCAGATCACTGCTCAGGGGTAACAGGCTAAGAATCATTTTATGGACCAGGAACCAGAATCAAAATCAGAAAGGAATTTGAGAATGAGAGCCAGAAAACAGCAACCTCCTCAAAGAAATACAAACACAAGTGATCACCCAATAGCAGCAGGCTATTGGGTACAAACTCCAGGCAGGACCTGACTGCCAGAACCATAACTATCCTCCCTGCAAGAACACAGGGGTGAGACCTTGGTCTGTCCCAACCCTGTGCCGGCTTTCAGTGCCTTGGTCCATGGACACTCCAGCTTCCCACACAACCACAACCCGAAGGCAGTGGTGTCATTACTCCCACTCTTTCTTCTAGAGTTGGTTTCACATCCCACTCTCCATCACTCTAGGGGCTTGAATTTACCCAACAACCAAAATATATATTCCTCCCATTCACATCTGTGTCCATCCTTCCTCATGTTTTCATTTCTCATTCTGTATTTCACCAGCCAGAGCCACAGTTCAATGACCACATGTTCTAAATCTACTGTGAACTCTTCACTCCTCTGCTGAAAAACAAAACTGCTCCTTCCCCAAACAGACACTAATTTTCTGACCTTCCTCCCCCAAGTGGAACCAACCCATAAGCTCAAGTGGGGCTGCAATGAGAATAAACCAAAGTAATGAAGCATTCCCTCTTTGTCATATTTGGGGATGAGCAGGTCACAAAGGTCAGACACTCTGAGGTTTATAAAATTCACAGATGTGCCCAAAACTCAGATTCTGGCAGCTAAGATCTGGCCAGAGACAACCCAGGGTGAGCTACCTGTGTGACAATGGCCATTCTTCCACTACAGCCAACTTAAGATGATTACATGTGTCATTATTTTCATATGGTTACGCTATATGATTATGGCATAGTCAGTATTTACAATAACAACATCTGCTGGTATAGATAGTGCTTTATTGATTACATGGTTTTTCATTTAATCCTTGCAGCAACCTGAGGTAGGTATTACTATCCCCATTTTACAGACAAGTAAATCGGTATCCCTAGGTTAGAATACATGCCCAAGATTATATGCTTCTTCATGGCAAACCCACTGAAATTCCAAACCAAGGGGACTCTTGAGTAGTTCATAGGCTGCTGCCAAGGAAAGCAGAGCAAAAAAACTCCAACCGGAAAGGACTGGACCATTCACTGGAGCTTAAAGGGGTCCCTCACCAGGGATGAATGAGGCACATTCACAGGTCAAGACCAGGACTGAGCAGGAGAAGCCTAGAGCACATGGGAGTTGGGAAGCAGGAAGGTTCAGACATTGGGTGACAGCTGACAGTGTCTTCCAATACGCAGAGCCCAGCTTCTCTGGACTAGAGAAACAGGACCTCTAGCAGCTGCAAGCCCAGGGCCCCAGGCAGCAAGGCGAGGCTAGGAGGAGCTGCCACAGAGCGCCACCATCCTGCATGGCCCAAGTGCAGTGGTCCTTTAACTGTATTAAGGCCTTGAGAATCTGATGAAAGCGCCCTTCCCAACCAGAAAAACACAGACACACAAGTACAGATGTACAGACAACATTTTGCATACAATTTCAGGGAGTCCATGGATCCCAGGTCAGGGACTCCTGCTTTAGGGCAAAGGTGTCAACCTGAGTAAAGTCACTGATGCAACCTATCTTTAAGCTGCTTGTATTTCCTGTTACTTTTCCCTTTTTACTGCCCCCTAATATTTAGAATGTTGTGAAGTTCAGCTATAATTGTAGCCAAAGAAAAGGGGCTCGACCCATACTCCAGGGAGGGCAAGAGCATCTATGGCATGGCAGTGGTGGCAACCAGAGGACAAAAGCAAAAAGGATGGGGTCACATGTACCAGGGCCCTTCCCACCCCGAAGGTCACTTTAGGCGATTCTTTCTACTCAAATTTAGAAAAACATTATGGTCAGTGAAGAGAGGGGCAGTGTTTTGTTGCCTTTTAGAAAAGAAAGCCACTTCCCCCTGGGTGCAGGGTGTGGAGTTGTGCAGGTAATGCTCCCATTCCACGTTTCCCCTCTCTACCCCGCAACACCTAACCCTCAGCCCAGTCACTCATGCACACGTGGCCAGGTCTCCTATGAACACCAACAGATTTACAAACACTCTTTCATGGCAGAAGGAAAACTGGGACGGGGGACCTCAGGGCAGAGGTTCTGCATTGCAGCATTGAGAATCATGCACTCACCACAGAGAATCAGTAAAATGGGAGAATCAAAAGGACCATCTCAAGGACTCAGTGCATATTGGTCCCCAACTACCTCCATGGCTCTTCTTCCTAACCAGGGCCTGCCCAGAAAGCAAAGTCAGAGCTTTGTCTTGGGCCCCGTCACCACAACTAAGGGGTCCAAGATAGGTGTCCAGGGCTGAAGGTCATAGGGGCTCAGAAGGTAAGGAGAGGAGGTAACCCCAGTTCACTGCAGCCCCAACTCTCATAGGAGTCAGGTGATGTCTAAGAGATCACTCAGACTCAACAGAAAATGAGAGGCCATGACAGTCTTCCAGGCCCAGGGACCTGATTCCAGCGTTCACTCATCTACCAGTGGTCATCTGCCTGACTCTAGATGGATGTTTCATCACATGTGGCGAGGGGAGCCCCTGTGAGCCGAATATGGGCTGGGCTTGAGCAAGGATCAAGTAGAAAGGGTGGAGGGAAGCCACCGAAGCCACTGCCCCTCTTGGCGAGGGCCAAGGGCAACCGCTCATCTTCAGGAGATGGGGAGGGAGGGTCTTGGCTATAGCTTGTGGTCCCAGATTGTGGGGCCCCCAGGTCTAAGCCCACCTTGTCTCTAGCCAGAAGTTCCTTCTGTCGCCGTCTCTGCTGATGCCGACCAATCAAGAGGAGTGTCAGAGATGCTACAATAACCCCCAGGAAAAAGCCAGCCAGTCCAGCCCCCACTGTGTGGGCCTGGTTTGAGGGACCTTGCGGGCTACCCCATACCAAGCTATAAGCTGCTACCACACGAGCTGCCCCACCCTCCTGACATTCACAGGCATAAGCACCCATAGTCCCTGGGGTCACCACCACCTCTAGCCCATCCCGCCGTGGGGTGAGTGCAGTCATTCCGCTGGGCTGATGCCACACACAGGATGCCCATGCCGAGCTGGGAGAACATGGCAAGACCACATGTGCAGATGTGGCCACAGGAACTTCAAACACTATTGGGTGTTCTGCAAAGAGATAGCACAGACACAAAAAGTGGTGAGCTTACAGGCTGACACGTGATGGACAAAAATGCTGGGTGATATCAGACATGAGACAGTACCATGGGAATAAGTTAAAAAGGAGATTCCCCAAAAGGGTAAGGATATGGATCGCTGGCTGCCATGTTTTTAAGGATTCAAGTTTTAAAGCAGGTGTAAAATGGACAGCTTTTGGGCTGGGGATATAGCTCAGTGGCATAAGCTCTTGCCTCAAGTGCAAGGTCTGGAGTTTGATTCCCAATACCAAAAAGGGGAAGGGGGGTAGCTTTCTAACTCCTTTCTACCCATTCCACCCATGTTTCCCCAAATCATACAAACCTCCAGGTTCTTTGGGACACAAAGAAGAGACATCCGCTGACTCTATGTCTTGGACCAGCCTACAAGAAGAAGAAGAACTGGTGAGTCCAATGTTAAGATTCTCAGTATCACGCAACATTTATTCACTCATTAAATCTCCTGCCAAATCACTCCTGAAATTATTTAACGTTCTCTTCATTACCAAAGTTTTCCTCAATATCCCTTATATACTTCATCACAATATTTGCAAGGTCAAATTGTACACTTATTTCTAGTAGGCCACTATGTACGTAAAGATGTTTGGTGGGCATGCTTTAAAAGAAATGGGATTCTTCTAAGAAATAGACCTGATTGTCCACAACCACAAGATTTCTCTGGGAAAAAAAAACATACAAACTATAGTTTTTATTGTTTTTCCATTAATGGAAAGAGCAAATTTATTTTCTGTAAAATCTAAGCAAAAACTCCATGAGTGTAAGGTTCATAAAAGCAGCTTGTCTCAAAGAGGGAACTCTCTCTCCACAGCTGCTGATATATACTGGCTTCTAATGGATCTGTTTCAAACAGCACAATCCTGGTTTCCCCAGGATTTGAGTAGACTGTGACAGCAAGATGGGTCACTGTACACTGAGCAATCTGGCACCACTGCCTGAGGAAAGGAGGCCAGTGAGAACTCTGCTAGAACCGTCTGGAGAGACCAGTAAAAGCCTGAACCACCTGAAAGTCTCAACCAGAGATAGGCTCCATCTGAGTGTGAACTCCTTTGGCACAAACTGAAGCCCTTGAAATGAGCTCTAAGACTATTACGAGTGGGTAGCCCAAAGCTGATCAGTTTAGCTGAGAGCCGGGAAAGTACAAAGATCATATGTACAGCTGCAGCCACAAGAACCTCATAATGTATGTTTTTCTTTCTTCTTCAAATTGAAGTATGAAAGGCAAAAGGTACAGAAGTACCAACCTACAACATGCATAGGTACACACCCCCAAATTCATATGTATATATAGTCATTTTGAGACAGGGTCTTGCTCTGCAGTTCAGGCTGGCTTTGACCTCACTTTGCAGCCCAGGCTGGTCTCAAACTTGCAACAATCTTCCTGTCTCAGCCTCCCAAGTACTGGGATTACAGGAGTGCACCATGCCCCACTTTTTTTTCCCCACACATATTTTAAAACAATCTTTGAAGTTCAAGTACAAAGGCTATTTAAGATCAGTGAAATTCTTAAAAAAAAAAAAAAACAGGGTCTTGCTATGCAGTCCAGGCTGTCCTCAAACGTGCAGAGATCCTCCTGCTTCAACCTTCTGAGTGCTGAGATTACACACGGGTATCCTATGCCTGGCCAGATGAATGAAATTCTTATTTCAATCAATATTAGAACAATAAAGGAAAGAATAAAGCATTTACTTTTGTCTTAGAAGATTAAAGTTCTCCCAAAAGAAACTAAAAACCAGCTCAAATTCTTTAATCAAAACTGCAAAGCTGACCAAGCCTAATACTTTAGAATCACTTTATCTTCCCAGTTAGCGTCTGACAGACTAAGTTTTTAAGTACTTACTGGTGTTATGGCTTGCATCTAGAGGTCTCACCAAAGCCGCAAGGGCTTATAAGTGGGGCTTTTCAGAGATAGGTGGATCTTGAGTGTGTGAGTATGGATTAAGGGGATGTGATAATCTGGATCGGTGCCCTACCTGGCTTAGCATAGCTCTGAGTGTGACCATTAGAATTCACTGGAGAGAGAAGCCCCACCCTGGCCGTGGGTGGCACCAATCAATAGGCTTGTAGCCCGGATGTAGTATGCAGAGACAAAAGGAGGCACACTCACTGCCTCCTTCCTGACCTGCTATGGACTGTTTCTCTTCTGCCATACCACCCTGCCTTGGGGCCGGCTGACTATGGACTGAAACCTCTACAAACTGAGCTTTCTTTCTTTAACTTGTAGGTATCAGGTATATTTGTCCCAAAAATGAGAAAAGTAACTAAGACAACTGGATATTTGATCACCCTAAGAAATTAAACTTTTGGTAATGATAACATCCACACAACATAATGATTAAATTTTGTATCAGAGATAAAGTAAGAAAGATGTATTCAAGATAAACGAAGAAAGACTCATGAAGTGATATGATATCTATTTGTTTCAAAATAGTTGGAAGGGTTATTCATGAAGCAAAACTGACCAGGAGTTGATGGTTGTTGAAACTGAGGATGGGGGCTGAATGAAGCTGAGGATGGGGGCTCAGTGGCATAAGTGTCTGCCTGGCAAGTGCAAGATTGTTTGATCCCCAGTACCAAGGAAAGAAAAAAAAACTGAGGATAGATAAACAAAAATCCATTATATTTGTTTCTCTATTTTTTAATATGTTTGAAACTTCCTACAATAAAGCTTTCAAGAGTGTCTTTATCTAGTATAGATCTATACTGAAATATTTAGGATGTCTGGCATGAGCAGCAGGAGGGATAGCAGTCCCTCAATTGAAATGAGAACTAGGAGAGAAATAATGAACAACAGCACATACTTAGACTTGTTAAATTTGAGTTGCTTGGGAAGCATCAAAGGGAAATATCAACTAGGAGCTGGACAGGGAATTCTGTAGCTCAACCAAGATAAATTTGTGGCTGTCATCAACACTCACTGATGTTGGAAGTAATAAGACTGAAATCACCTAGAAGCGGGCCAGGACAGGACCCTGAGGAATATCAACAATCAGTAGCTAAAAAGGAATCAACAGAGAGACAAGAGAGGAGAATGCTGTGTTAAAGAAAGAATAGAGGAATAGTGGCCATGAAAACACTTCTGAGAGGTTTGTTTTTTGTTTGTTTGTTTGTTTGTTTTGTACCAGGGGTCAAACTCAGGACCTTGCACTTGCCAGGCAGGCACCTTTGCCTCTGAGCTACATCCTGAGAGCTCTTGTAAGACAGAAACTGGGAATAGCCTACGAGAACTATCTCTGACAGACACGGTATGTCAGTCTCACCATAGTCATCAACCAACATGGACTCAGTCCTGCTATAAGGACAGATCTAGCAGAAGAAGCAAAGACACTAATGAGTAGCACCAGATGGACAGATGGAGTTAATATAGGTTGACAGATGGACATGCAAGTGACACAGACATCAACAGAAGAAAAAAATAAACAAAGACAGGAAGGCATTAGTGGATGAGAAACAGCCCTGCTGTGTCCAGGGGCTGAGCATGGCTGGGCCTCCATGGCCGGAATAGCAGGCCAGAAACCGACAGAGCTGTACTCACCCTTGGTGCTCCCCAGCATGGGCCACACATGCATCCAGCCGGAAACTCCAAGCACAGGCAGGGTCCTGAGCCAGGATACACTCTGAGCAGCTCTGGTGGCGACCACAGTTGGTTGTGTTTACTTGTGTCACCTCGGTATGGGAGCCAACCAGGAGCCAGCCCTACAGAAAGGAAGCAGGGAAGAGGAATATGCTGAATCTTCCAGACTTCGGGGTCAACTGTCTACACTCAGATGTCTCCCTACTGGATTTTCCCAAAGTTACAACTCACATGGTATAATTTCATGTTCTCAACTGGCTGTGGCTCTGGAAATAAGGCCAGATCCTCCAGGACACTTAGCTGGGCTCCAATGTACACTGCTCGGTGCAAGTGTCCATCCTCTAGGAGACAAGACGGGGTAAGAATAATGGCCTAATGGCCCCTGTCCATGGGACTCTGATGCCTGTACATATTAGGGATCCCCTCTGTGATGACAGTAAATACTACAGGGCAGCTTGTTTGACTATTAAATATACCTGTACCCAGGTAGAGCACATCATACTCTTTCCCTGAGAGGCTGGTCACCCTGTGGGCCACCACTCTGAGATAGGCTGTATCCGTAGTGACCAGCAAGGGGTGCCCATCGGCAGGAAACACTGGCCTGTCCATGAGTGGGTGGTCCCGGATGAAGGTGAGCACACGATCAGGCAAGGACAGCGAAGAGCCAAACTGCTGGAGCTTCATGTTCTTGGTAATACACTAGAACAAACACGAGGCTGGCTGACAAAGTTTCTCAGAGAACAAAATGTCAGCGATATACAGCCTGGTTCTTGCTGTCAGGACAGCTCTTTAATTTAGCCCTGGGTTGAAGACCTGGCCTGGCTCCCTCACCTCTCCAGGTCTGGGCTGGGGCACATCATTGTCTGTGACAGGCAGTCCCCTGTTGCAGTCATGTTTAAGCTCTCTGAAGGTACCATTCAGTACTGTCCGAATGTCTTGTGGTTTGAAGGCACAGATAGCAGAGATGGAAGCTCCTTCCCTGGAAGAGTCATAGGTTGCAAGTATGTGTCTGCAGGGAGCTAGGGAACAACAACCTATCTCTTATCAAATGAAATGACTCCAAGAATCACACATGGAGCCACAGGACAGAGTCTATCCCACTCTGAAAGAGATAACAATGACATTGTGCCAATCCCATGGTCTCCATCCTGTAACTCTCCACACAGGCAGCCCTCACCACTGGGAAGAAAAGATGCCATAGAAGACAGGAGTCCCCACTCCAAGAACAGGTCGAAGTTCAGCCATGTCCTGCAGGACAGTGGAGGCCCGGCCATGCTCAGGCCCTGGACACAGCAGGTCAGCCTTCAGGAATGTTGTCCACCTCTGCTGAAGGGTCTTCCGGCCCCCAAGGTCCCCCTGGTGTGACAAGCACATGGAAAAGTCTCTTTAGAAGACCAACATTAAACAAGGAGTATGGAGACAAATACAAGTTTCCTCCTTGACTTCAGGACAGACACAAAGGATGGAGAGACATGCATAGAAATATGAGAACAGACATACAGGCCAGGGAATAAGAGGGATAATGAAATTCGGGAGTATATGAGGGCATAATAACAAAGCCAGTAACTAAGTTAACTGTGCACTTATAATGAAGTGTTTTATTAAGTTCCCTCACATAGTCCTGAAAACAAGTTATCCCAATTTGTCCTACAAACAGTCCTAGGTCAGCATCATTATTATCTTCATTCTACATTTCAAATGTGCTAAAAAAAATTAAAATTTAAAAAAATCTGCCTAGATCACAGCAAGTGGTAGAGCAGAACTTAACCCCAGGTCTGTCTGCCACTGGTTCCAGCCTTTAACTTGTACTGTCGTCCATTCCTAAGGACAGCATGTCACAATGGTAATTGTGGGGGTCTGAGAGGCAGACATTCCTCAAGGTCCCAGGAAAGAAGGCAAAAAAAAAAAAAAAAAAAAGAAGAAGACAGAGGAAACACTGCAAAGACAGAGATCCAGAGAAGAAATGACAGGAGGACACATAGCAGGGGATGACAAACAGCCAGCCAGCCAGGGGTCTCACCGCGCACACACGAGCCACCCGTGGGACCTTGATATGTTCATATGAATCAAATGTCCGGGAAGTCTCCGTAAAGAAGAAGTAGATTTCCTCGTCACCATCTTCATCCCCCCATTCGGCTGGGCTCAGGGCTACAGCTGCGACAAAGGCAGGGGCTGGGGAGACCGGTGGCCTCAGATCTCCGCAGACGTAGCCTGGGGTCACCCAGCCTCCACCCACTCTGTACCTCAGGGGGCCCATCTCCCTCTACCCACCGTTAAGCCAGGCTGGCAAGGTCTCTATTCGAATCCAATCCTCAGCGCGACCCACAGCCCGGGAGATAATCGACTCTGTCCCCAGGTAGTTTTTCACAGTGGCAGTATAAAGAACCCCCCCTGTAGAGTAACAGGAAAAAGATGGGACTATCAGAAACCCACCGCAGGAAGCAATAGCAGAGCACAGAATAAAGCCGGGTAGCAACTCTCAGGCCTGAAGGCCCACTAAGTGCCAGAAAGCACTTAGTGCCACTAAGTACATCACAGGGATTGCTTTATGGTGAACAACAAAATAAACTGCCCTGGGCAAGACAGCAACCAGTGTTGAGAGAAAACTGTGCCAAAATGTCCACTGCTACAAAGGGAGAATGAAGAGCTCCTGGTAGAAGTCAGGTTTTCTCTGGGGTTTTTTGTTGCTGGTGTAGTAACCCTATAACACGCTAACTGTCCTGTGACTTTCCACTGTGGTAAAGTGTGAGGGAACTCGGGTTCTTTCTGAGTGTCAGGAGGTCTGCACTACTCTGGAGTAAGTCACAAGTCTAGGAATCCCTTGGGGGCTTAACCAAATACAAATTCCTAGTCCTAGAAATTCTCATTCATTAGAATCAAACAAAGAGTACTCAACAACTTGCACTGCAAACAAGCAATCAGAATTATTCTGACACAAGTGGACCGGGCCTCATTTTGAGAGCCCAGAGGATGAATGGGGCTTCACAGACAGCAGGGAAAGCTACAAAGAAGCCTTCTTATATGGTGAAGGGGCAGAATGCTGAGGATTTAAGAAGAGAGAATTCAGTCACCCTGGAATGGAAGGGAGGTGCAGTTCTTTGGGCTGAACGGGATAGAACTAGGACCACTGTAATACTGCCAAGGACCTAGACATGAGTAGGAAGAAGATGAATCAGGGTAGTAGAAGGTCATGGACACCTGGAGCAGTCCTGAGCATCACAGGTACTCTGGAGAGAACAAGATGACATACTTTTGCCACCTATTGTGTGACAAGGCACTATGTTGGGTGTTGAGTACATCACTACCCTTAAGAATTCCCGTTTGAGCTAGGAAGTCAAGCACACAGTCAGGCAATAGAAGGCTTGAACTAGCCGATGGAGGGAGGGGAGCTACAAAGGAAAATAAAACTACATCTATCTAGGACCCAGCAAGTCTGAAGAATGAGAAATCTCATACAAGGTGGACTTTGGGGAGAAAAACAGGCAAGCAGCAAAGAGGGGTGCCATATGCATGCATGTGGGAATACTGGTGGCTGAAGCCCAAAGGGGCAGAGGGAGGTGCCAGCCAGGGCAGGTAGGCAGAGATAATGCTGGAGAGGTGAAGGTGGTCGTGCAATTGTGAAGAATATGTTCTGCTGTATCAGCAACATGCACTGTGTCCTCCAGGGAAGAGTAAAATGGCAGAGGTAGTTTTTAAGAGGAGAGTGACATAATTAGGGTGTTTTCCTAGAAGATAATACTATTTACACGCCACTCACACAGTCCAGGCAAGAGTACTAGGCCAGAACAAAGACAAGGTAGAGAGAATAAAGGAGCCAAAAGATTTTGCAAAGTAGAATCCATTAACCAAGTTTGAAAATCAACTGAACGTGAAATATGAGAAAATGGAGTAAAATAATGTCTCACACAACTGATGACAGCAGATTGTAATGTTATTATCAAGCCAGGAAACGACAGGAAAGGTCCGTGAAGGAGGCAGGGAGGGGAAGTGAGTGCAGCCTTGGCATTGTTAAGGCAGATATGCCTCAGGACACGGGTCAGACACTCAAGAAGGCAATTAAATCAGGACCACCAGTAACTTCAGTGTCATCACACATCCTGTTTAAGTTCCGACATGAACAAAAGGAAGATAATAGGGAGAAAAGCAAAATGAGACAAGAGCCCCTATTTAAGGGAAGGAGGAACTGCTGCTGAGGAGGTCAGACAGCTGGAGAAGCGGGGAAGACTGCTGTGCTGGGAGCTGGTGCATGGAGGCCTCTGCAAGACCTTTCAGGGTTCTGTTTGTTGGGAAAGCAGAAGAAGAAAGCCATGTGAAGGGAAGAACAGTCCCTCTAGGGCCACACATGCTCCAGAAAAGCTGCATGTGGCAGGCAGTGGTAAGAGCAACTGACCTAGAAAAAAAATCTATGCAGAGCCAAAAAAGAGCCAGGCAGCAGTTGGGAGGTGAGGTTGGAAATCTCCTTGGGGAATGGAAAGAGAGACTGTTCCATCATTTGAGAATGTGCTAAAGATACAAGTGATTTGTTGGAAGCAGGAAAACTTTCATTTGAACCCTACTACCAGCCGAATGATCCTAAACCTCAGTTCTTTATATGTAGCATAAGGATGATACCACTTTCCCACTCGGAGAAAGTGAGAGGGTTGGATAAGATCAGTTACAGAGCCCTGGCTGGGATCTGGCATAAGGCAGGCATTCAGTTCACATTAGTTACAGCTCCTCTTGAATCCTCAAGGAGCTTATGCCATCAGAAGGAGAAAAGGAGCTACTCCCATTCCTGTCCAGAGAATTTCAGAAAAGAAAAACCAAATATTGATTATGGGTCCTAGTGGCAAATGGGGCAGCAAATAAGTGTTGATACCAGAAGGGCTGGACTGAAAAATTTTCCTAACAGCACAATACACAAAATACCCTCAAGCCAAAGTCTGACAATTATCTGTCATGGATTCCCCGAGACTAAAGGGTGTGGTACAGGAGACAGTTACATTTATTTTGGGAATATGGCTTTGAGGGTAGAATTGGAGGAAAATAATCATTAATATTCTAGAAACTGGAAAAAGACTACAGATCACCATGCAAAAACCCAACAATGGATGGAAATAAAGGGTCCCAAAATGTCCTAAGGGATCAGTGGGGGAGCTAGTGACACTGGAACCTAGAAATGCAGAAGAGGACACTCAGGGTGAAATAACAGAACGTCACTAACCCCCAGGACAGATCAGACACACTGGGAGGAAGTAGCAGGGCAGACATGCTCCAGGAGCACAGCGGCCATTACAGTCAGGACAGGATGACACAGGACCACTGCGTGACCTAGATTCTCCAAGACACTATCAATTCCCAATTCCCATACAATGGGAGTGCAGTGTTCAAATATCAAAATATCCCTAAACATGCAATTATTTGATGCATTTGTACTGAATAGACCAAGTTAGTAAAAATTAATATACACATCTGAGCATTAGTAAAAGATGATGTGCAAAACAGTGATGTCCACAGAGCTGAGCTCAGTTGAAAGTTAATTAGAGGGGCAAAAAATACTGGTGCTAATTCAGCCCTGTTTTTAAAAAATGCATGTACTATCTGCAGGCATAGGAGTTTTGAAGGCGCTGGAACTCTATGGTGTTAATGTTGTTTATTTTTGATTAATGGAATCAGAAGTGGTTTTCTTTTTACTTTTTTGTATTCACTTTTTTGTAATTAGAAGTTTTACTTTTGTAACCCCCAAATTAAGATATTTCATTTTGGAAATTAAAAAAAAGAATGAAAGCTCCAAAACATAACGAATTATAGCCAAAGAAAAATCACAAGTATGTCTGAAATTGATCCCTACTTGTATAGATGGAAAGCCTGTGAACACAGGTCTCCCAAATAAGTTAGCACACCAAAAATGACATGCTGGGATGACACACATCTCCTGTGTCATCCTGTGTGTCATGACAGGAAATGGTTCACTACACCATAGGCGTTTCCATTTTTCATTCTGATGGCAAAATTCTCACTTGTGAAATTACAGGAATTATCTATTAAATAGGTTTGTTTGTTTGCTTGCTTGCCTGCTTGCTTGCTTGCTTGAGACAAGGTCTCCTTGTGTAGTTCAGACTAGCCTTGAGTTCACTATGTTGCCTCAAACTTGCAATGATCCTCCTGCCTCAGCCTCCTGAGCTCTAGGATTACTAGTGTGCACCACCACATCCATCTCATAAATTTTCAAAAGATTTTAAACATCCCCTACCCCTGCTTTTCTCACACCCTTTTCTCCTCATTTTCAGATGCTTTTTAGGATAGATAGCCCCTACTCTAATATTCTGCATTTCCTTATGTAAGCATTGAGGCAGCTGAATGCTTTTAACAGCCATGCAGTAAGACATAATTAGATCACTGAAGATGCAGTGTTTACTTTCCCCTCTGTTGGTCATGCAGGATTTCTGTAAGCATCTCGGTTCAGTGTAAGAACACTAATCTTGGGACAGACACACATGGATTTAAAAGGTGGGCTTGCCCCCCCCACACACCCCCCGCCCAAAGCGGCCAGTGCATCTGCAACAATTTGCTGCACTGCTTGGCAGATCACAAGACACAATGGAACCGAAAGAAGTGGATTAAAAAAGCACAGATGGGTTCCCAAGAAGAAAGAGCAAAAACTTCTGCTCATTTTGAAGAAAGCCTGATTTATTACAGCATATGGAAAGGAGGAACCAAGACAGACCAACCGCTGCCTGTAGCTTGAGTACCCGGGTAAGCAGTGGCACTGTGCCCTCAGACAAAGAAATGGTGGTGGAAGAGCAACTCTGGAGAAAGTGACGGGAGAAAGCTGATGATCCCAGTTTGGGACATGATGATTTTGAGAACCCTGTGGATCAACCAAGAGGAGATGTCTGAAAGGCATCTGGGTATGTGGTCTGTACCTCAACAGTGTGGGGGAGGCAAGTACAGACTGGGGAGGCATCAGAATGTGGTAGAAAAAGAAGCCACAGAGGAGGCTGAGATCACAGCTGCATTGATCAAGGGATTGCTTGGTGGAGGCCTAAGGCACCCTAAAACTTAAATGAGCAGAAAACAAAAAACTGTTAAGGAGACTGAGAAAAACTCATGGGTGATTTTAGGCTGTTACTATCAAAATATACTTTTCTAAACTTGAACTGTACAAATATAGACATTGAGATCACTTAGCTAATTTTATCTAAGAGCAGTACAAATAAATGTCATATTTGAAAACTAAACTTATAAAGCTATTCATACAAATATCAATAAACACATGAAAAGTTATTCAACCTCACTAGTAGAAATGCCAATCAAAATACAGTGGAGGAAGCCACCGTTTGTTTGGATATGTGGTAACTATATTACTTGGAACTTATAAGGGTGTGATGAAACAGGCTTATTGATGGTAAGACTAACCAAAGGACAATTTATTAAAATCTATCAGTCACCATCCAGATCTTTACATCCTACAACCCAACAATTCCCCATACTGGTCTGACTGATATGTCATTACTTAAGATTCACATAAAAGACTGACTTAACAATTTGTGTAAAAAGATTTTTGTTGCAGCATTCTTTATACAAACAATAACTGATTTTAGAAGTTGAACATATAATTACATGGGAATATCATCCATATGAAAGAAGAGTATACAATTACTAAAAAGTATTATTTTTTTAAATAATTCTATGATTTTTTTTTTTTTTTTTTTGGTACTAGGGATTGAACTCAAGACCACACACTTGCAAGGCAGGCGCTTATGCCGCTGAGCTAAATCCCCAGCCCCAATTCTATGGTTTTTGCTAGGCATGGTGATACATGCCTGTAATCCTAGGATTTGGACATTGAGGCACAAAGATTGAAGTGAGTTCAAGACCAGCCTGAGCTACAAGTGAGTTCAAGGCCAGCCTAAACCATGTAGTTAGACACTGTCTCAAAAAAATTATACAATTTCTATGATAAAAAAAATTCTTAATGCTAAATGAAAGAATCACAATAATTCCAATTTATAAACATGGAGAGACAGACAGACAAATAGACGTAGTAAAAGAAAATCCTCAAAATATCCCATAATAACAGTATTTACCTGGTGATGATAGAATTACAAATAAAAATTTCACTTTCTTCTTTATATATTCCTAATTTTCTACAATGCACATTGTAATTTTTATAATTTAAATAAATACTTTTAGTATGATAGCCCAGTAACATTTTCATTACTAAAAACTCTTTTTCAAAATTTCAAAATACTTGTATTATTATTAAGAATTTTTTGTTTCCTTTTTTACTTTAAAGAGAATAAAACCAAACAAAAAGGATATTTTTATAAAAAATAACTGGAAATTTTGATTTAATTCTTACATATTATTTGCACTAGTTTCTATATTGACAGTTTCAAAACAGAAGGGCAATAGGACATAATGGATCAATTCTAAAAGCCCCAAGTGAACACTGGCACATAAGAAGAACAAGAAAAAATTTTAAATGATAAAGTAAGAACTACAGACAAAACCCAGAATATTGATATTCACTATGATTTGAATCTGAGGCATCTAGAGACACAGAGGTTCTAGTAATCCGAGATAGCCATTCTAAACTAAAAAATGAATTCTAATCACTTTTGTCAATTGCCAGTTGAAAAACAATCCTGAATTTTTTTCCTTCTTTGGCCAACCCTGAATGTTATCATTTAGAAAAAAAAATAGACTTTGAAACGCTCTCTCTCTTCACTTTGCAGTAACTTATAAAACGTGTCCTCTTAAATCACATCCTAATATAAGTTCATTTGCTGACTGAACAGAGAAATTATTCAGTCACAATGCTTAAAGACTATTGCTTGAAACAAAGCATGTTAAGTGATTACTTTGGATTATTGCAACTGAGAAATTATTTATGATGACAAACAATTTTGTAGGATCAGGAGACATGTATGGTAAAACTCAAAAATCTTAATAATCCCAATGAATGATTCAGAGTTTTTGCCAAAAATGTTGATAAAAGCCAAGAGTAATATTCACTAAACTGTTTTGTTTAGAGCCGAGGGCTGTGGCACACACCTGTAACCCCTGTGCTGGGGAGGTGGAGGCAGAAGGGATTGCTGTGAGTTGGAGGCCATCCTGGGCTACCAAGGGAGATCTTTTTCAAAAGCCAAAAACCAAAACCAAAACCAAACAATAAAAACCTGTCTGGTTTAAACAGCTAAACAAGATTTCATCAATTTCAGTAAAAGATTTTTTAAATTACAATGCATTATGGTGAAATTTAAGTGTGAAAACAAAACACTTTCATATATTGCTGGCTTAGGGTGTAAACTAGTACACCTTTCTAAAAACTCAATTAGCAACACACAATGAGCACAAAATATTCACACCCTTTGCTGTATTAATCCATTTCTAGGAATCTTAAGAAGATAATCTAAAACAAGGGCCCAAAAAAGAACAAAAACATCCACTACAGCAATATAGATAACAAAAAGTTTAGAGTAACCTAGATAAAATAACAATCTCAAATGGCTTAGTTTATATGTTCAGAGGATGAGTAATGCCACTAAAAATTAGCTTTATAATTTTCAAATTATAAAGAAATTCCTACCATATAAAGTTACACGATAAAATTCAAATTCATATCCATCAAATATAAAATTTAAAGGTGTTATAATAAAGTTTCCATTAATCTGCTTTGTTACATTATCATGAGAAAACACCTAGCTTTTCACTGAATTTGGAGGGTGTATGTGGAGTGGTATTAACCTAAAATACAGTTATGAGGCACAGAAACAATTTGCTCTGTGGCTACCAAAGAATCAGTCATTCTCCAGAAGAGATTTAGGCAAACCATTCCACACTTGCATAACTGTAGATGGCTTGGTCAAAGGAAGCAGCCTTGGGAGTGTATTTAACAGTCATTACTGATTCCCCTGAACAACAAAGCACTAGCCAGCAAAATGTACGCGCTTAAATGTATCTGGGTATGTACACAGATGCGCGCGCACACACACACATTTAAAAAGCTAGAAAGGAATAAACTAAGACACTGGCAGTGGTTTTATAAGAAGAGATATTTAGAACTGAATTACTATGGTAGCCACTAGGTACATGGGGCTGTTTATATAAAATTAAATTTAAAATGCCTCTCTTCAGTCACACTAGCCACATTTTAAGGCTCAACAGCCACAATAGCAAGTGCCTACTGAACTGTACAGCGCAGATATAGGACATTTCCATCATCATACAGAGATATTAGGATAGTGCCATTCTAGACATGTTTTCCTTTATGCTTTTTCCAAATTTATTACAATATGCATTGTAGTGGATTCCTCTTTGGTCATGGGCACACAAGAAAGAACAAGAAAGGGTTAAAAAAAAATAGAGAGACAGAGGGATAGTAGACATTCCAAGGAAAAAAATGACACAGAAATTGCAACCGCAGGGGTGGGGAAGGAAGCAATTAGAGCAAGAAATCACATGTTCTTGTCTCTCCCCACTCACCAGCCATTACAGCTGCTGACCGCTGAGCTGGCTCAAAAGGACATTTCCCCCGGCCACTCTCAAGGCTTTCAACCTGCTGGAAACTGGACACATCCTACAGACCAGAAGGGGCAATTGTTTTAGGGATTGTGGGGGAAGAGGTTCACGGTGAGAAGTACAAAGATGGTCAGACGAGGAAAAGGCCAATTCCCATCCAAATGCTCTCCCCTGACTACCATCCCCACCATCACCTCCTCCTGATTCCCCACACAGTCCCCATTTCCTGTCTCTGCTTTCCTTTCTTCATCAGGTGATTCCTTTTTCCTCAATTCCTTTAGAACATGTCACCCACATGCCCTGATAAAGGAGCACCTAGGATGGCCCCAGAAAACACTGAGGCTGAATGAGGTATTTCTACTTGTATACTAGTAACCGTAAAGCTTACCGTTTACTACATAATGTTCTACAGGACAAAGAGGTTTGGGGAAGATAACAGGCTTCCTAAAGGCTGGAGCTCTTAGGCAGGTCAAAGAAAAGTGCAGGCTGATAAAGGATCAGTTCAAGTTCATGGACCTAGAGAGAAAAGGGCCATACTCCCCATATTCCTACTCTAAGAATGAAAAACAGGGCCAAAGTCATATATCCAGCTGAGTCAGAGAATCCACAAAGTCAGTGAAGAATGTCCTAAAGCTCCGTTCTGAACCTCACAGGTAAGCATATTCACCTTCCAGGGACTCCAGAGGAACAGACCTGCGTGGGAGGTGAGAATTCCAGCAAGGCCAGCCAGAAGTTACCTTAGTCTAGTACCCTGTGCTGGAAGAGGTGTCAAAATAGCATCCAAAAATGGAAATTAAGGGTGGTTTCAACAGGACTGAAAAGGAAGTTAACTGTAGCTGGTTGGGAATCAAAGTTATGGCATAGAAATGCAGGTGTGCTATCTCCATCCAGCTCACAAACTGGGTGGACATAAAGTATGGCTAAACCTTAATTTCTTCAATGGTAGTTGGAAGCTTAACATGCATATACCACTGGCCCATTCAGATTGCTCATCTCTTTGTTGTAAATGGCAAACACAGTATTTTACTGAGAAACTCTTGAAGTGGACTGTTAAAATGATATGTAAACTGGAGACATTAGGTCAAAAGAGCCTCCTGGAATGAAACAAGCCCAGAAGCACAAGCACATCACTTGTGTGACAGTGGGAGCATCCTCCCCTGAGAAGATAACAGTTCTGTGATTAGCAAGATTATCCAGGGTTTGGGCTCTGCAATGGAGATCATCGCCTGCTCCTGCCTCTCCTCCCTCTCCCCTGAACTACAGCAGAAATCTCTTTTCCCTGTGTTGCCTTGCAACCTCCACTCTATATAGGCACCCCAGGTTTATTCTCAAAGTATCAGCCACTGACCAGATAGTAGATTTTTTAGCATAGTACGAAAAGGCCCACTACTGCCTGGAGTACAAATTCTGGTTCAATCTATTCATTTTCTGCTACTTCTTAAAATGAGGTCTATTCTATCCAAATCAAATCATCTAATCCTGTAATGCACAAGTTTTCCCATGTCTGTGTCTAAGACTGCTCCCTCACATTTCACCAAAGACTAAAAAGGTGAGCCTTTCTCAGTTCTCAGTCCCTTCCCTCTTTATGTATCATTTGACACTTGACTTACTCTTTTCTTTGAAACATTTTTTTTGCTCTTGAAACTCTACGTCCTAACCAATAGGAGTCCTTATTCCTACCAAATGATTGTTTATCTTCTCTTTAGCACCTACATGTGCATCTTAAAGATCTAGTCATTGTCCTTTTCACATAGCCTTCAAAAATTCAATTCATTCTTATATCTCCAGTCCTTCTATATAAATCATTCCCTAAAATCTGAGTCTAATGTCTTCCAAACCCTAGTCCATATCTTTGACTGCTAGTCTCTCTCAGAGAGATTAACTACAAACTCTTTAAAACTCAGTGTGTCAAAAGTAGTCTCCTTCTAGTTTCTCCCAATGGTTGTATTCTTCTAATCTTTGAGAAAGTGAGCCTCCCATTAAAAAACTAAGTAAACTGTGATTACTATGTAGTCAAAATGATCTTCCCCTAGGGCTTGAAAGGGGCAAATCATTTCCACCACATTCTCTATTGATATGTTTAGACTTTCCACTGTATTATTCTGTCAGTCAGCAGAATCTCCCAAAATCAGCTGTAGCGAAGGCAAGCCCAACAAGGTTTAAAGCCAGGGCTGGACAGGAAGCCTCTCGTTAAGCAGTGAGGTTGGAACTGGTCCTTTGCTCTCAATCAAGAAGGGAAGAAAGCATATAAAAGACATCTCCCTGATCATAAAGAAAAAAGAAAAAATATAGTTCCCGATATATGAAACATGGCAGAAGAAATTGAATGTAAGGCCTTCTGGACTACAGGCTAGATTAGTGATACAGAATAGAACACAGCCAAACAAATCTAGGTATAAAATTCGGCTTTGCCTCTGCTAGCTATACAGTCTTAGGATAGCTGTTTTCTCTGAACTTCTAATTTCCTTGCTTACAAAATGGAAATAAATAATACTTAAATACCATCATGAAAATTAAATGTAATCATAAATGTAAAGTACTAGTAAGAAACCAAAAGTATAAATAAGGACCAAAATGTAGAACAGACATTGGGAAATGGTAAGAAAATGCTCAAATGAGAGGGGAATGAGGGAGGGAGAAGAAGAAAGGAAAGAAGGGACAAGGAAAAAAAACAGAATGGAAGGGAAAAAATGCTTTCATAAATAATGAGGGGAAGAGGGATTGAAGAGAGAGAAGGAGAATAGGGAAAAAAGAAGCAAGTCATATCACATACAGATCAAATTCCTTATGATGTATGTTATCATTATATATATATATATATAATGTACCAATAAAATTTTGAAAAGTACTAGTACCAAGCCTACAACAGAGCAGATACTCAAGTGGTCATCACTGTTGTCATTGTTTTTAGAAGCATAACATTTTTCTCTGTTAACTGCTGGAATTCCCTCAACAAATCAAACTAAATTATTTTCCTCCAATGTCTGATGAGATGACACCGAGGGAACAAACTCCAATGCTAGAGCTGATGAATCCAGGGACTCAATATCCTTTTTGTAAGCATCTGATTTCCACATGAGCATATTGTTGTGTGAGATCAACCCTCTCAGAAATATAATTACATACAATCTCTGCATCATCAGTCTAGGCCATGAGAGGTTCAGGCACTAAGTATGAGGCAAGAACACTGTCAAGCAGACTGAGATTGCCAACTAACAGAATAAGACAGGTAAAAGCAAAAGAGAATGCTCAAAAATTCTACAGAGCAGGCTCAGGATATAGCTTGAAGAGCTAACAGAACTTATCTTTTTCTCCTATAAATCATCTTTGATCAAGAATGGCCCCTCATTTTATGAACCTGCTATAAAGGAAGATTCAAAAAGTCAAACTAGCCAGGCACGCTGGTACATGCCTGTAATCTTAGCACTCAAGAGGCTGAGGCAGGAGGATCACTGTGAGTTTGAGGTCAGCCTGCACTACATAGGGAGACTCTGTCGCAAAAGGAAAAAAAAAACACAAAGAGCCAAACTGGAAGGAGTGTAAGACATAGAGCCCTGGCTTCATTCTTTATTGCTGATGTCCCTAGATAGAATGGATAGAGGTCCACATCATACTAATCCTGGTAGATATGTCCAGAATATTTTCCACCTACATACCTTATCTAACAACCATTTGGTCACAAGTTAAAACAGATAACACCATGACACTAATGTGATGACTATTCTGTCTCTAAGCCATGGCTCTGATACTCACATCCATCAGGCTGCACAGACTGATGAATAAACATGGCAAAGGCAACATCACTCCACTTCATAAGCCTGTTGAGAACTGCAGGAGAACTAGACTCTCAACATTAACTGATGGGATACAGAGATTATTTATATCACCCTGAAGTGGAAAAGCATCCCAGGATGAGGGAGCTGTCCAGGTACAGAGCCCATCACCTACATTACAGAAAGGACTCAACGTAAGTTCAATTAACTCCAAGGCTGGCCTAGAGGGGCTGACAATAGCAATCCCGTACATACAATTACAGCCTCCGGAGCCGAGATATGAGGGTGGCCTAGAATGAAGAGAGGATGGACAGACACACTGACTACATCCAAGTGGATCACTGATCACTGAAGACTACAGCAGTATGCAGTCAAGATGTACAGTTAAGGATCAGGATCAAAAAGGGAGAGGCTGCATTCCACTGGATGCAAGACATGTGAGGTTTTAAACCTATTCTAAGGCTAACCTACAAGTGTGTGCATCCAGAGGACTAGTACTGGCTGCCATATAACTGACAGAGTTTAAGAACCGTCAACATCCCAGGGATTCATGGAGCCATAACCAAAGGAGTATATGTGTCCCAAGACTGCCTGGGTGTGAGGGTGGTGAAGCCAGGTCTCTACCACTAATGAACAGGATCCAAAAGAAAACATAAGGTGGAAGTGAGGGGGCCGGGGATACGGCTCAGCAGTACAGAGGCTGCCTGGCAAGTGCAAGGTCTTGAATTCAATTCTTCACACACACACACACACACACAGAACCACTTATTCACGAATTAATTAATTCATTCATTCTTTCAACAAACATTTTTTAAAAAGAGAAAAAGTAGAAGTGAGGGAAAGTGGTGAGAGAGAGGCACAAGCTATGAGACCAAGAAACAGACATTTAAAATTTTGTTTGTCTTTTTGATACAGGGTTTCTCTGTGCAGTTCAGGCTGGCCTTGAACTCACTTTGTAGCCCAGGCTGGCCTCAAACTCACGGCCATCCTCCTGCCTCAGCCTCCCAAGTGCTGGGATTATACGCATGCATCACTATGCCTAGCAAAGAAACAGATGTTTGCTAGACTGATTAAGAAACAAACCCAGGCTCCCTGGCTAAAGGTTTCACAGAGCAAGGGAAATATGAGTTCCTGGTTTTTGAAGTCTCTTGCCCAACTGGCATCCCTAACCTCCTTCCTAACTGTCCTACTGCATCTCTTTTTACACCCTGTATTCCTCACCCTTTACAGACAACCTCCCTCTCCCTCAGCATGCTACCCTTCGTGGTAGCTGGCAAATGGCCCGCTGTGAAGACACCCCCTCCACCCCCAATGCTCATCGTGCATAGTGCTTGACTGCACCACACCCAACACGGTTACTCACTGAAAACCCTTCCCATCCCCCCACCCACCACCCCCAAATAACTCACACCGATGCAGGCTCCTTCTCCCTCTCCTCCCCCACCCTTGTCACTCACAATAACCCCGCACTTCGGATCAAAAGCGAAGGTGCCACAAGTGAGGAGGTGAGAGGCATTGGCAATGACGAGAATCTGGACAAAATTGTGACATTCATCCTGGGGGTCAGAGATGGTTAGAGAGAATCAGAAGCAGCAAGTAAGCGCAAGGTAAGCTTGTGTCAAGACAGTTAGATGCAGCTCTGGGATCAGGGATGATGGGTGATGGCAGAGTGTTAGTCACTGCCTGAGCCCTTGTGATGGGAGCAACTCGGGACTGACAGCAAGTCAGGCCAACGACTCAGTGAACATTCGGACAGGACCAGGATTTACACTTACCTCTCTCTTTCCCTTCTTCTCACAGTTCTGTCTGTGGGCCGCAGGTACCATCCAGTCAATCTAAGAAAGCAAAAGCTGCCATTTCCCTCAGATTCCCTCCACCCTAAATTCCCTCAAGATCAAGGTAGGGTGAGACAGTTCCATAACTGTCAATCAATTTGGATTAGAATTTGGAAATTTCTGAGATCCCCCTAGAGCACTGCTTTTCAGACAAAGACCACCACCCATTAATGAGCAATGAAATCAACTCTGAAACCACACCCAACATTGTTTTTAATGAAATACGGTAGCATGTCTCAAAATGTAGCACATAGAGACTTCTGTGAGGAGAGCTTTCTGCAGTACAGGGACACGATACTAATGGGTAGTCAAGAAAGTTTGAAAGCTGCCTCACTAGAGTATGGCTGTTTTAGTAATCCCTCTGCTCACTGTCCCCTGAAACCTGGTAACTGTGGTCTCTCCATCACCATGAACCTCCCAGATATCCTCCCCAGTCATCACAACCCCCAGCACACACAGCTGAGACAATGAAAGGCAACCGCCCATTACCACAGTTAAACCTTTAGTAATGAATCCTATAATACTATTCATCTAGCAAATGCTATGGGAACTCATGTCCTCCCACTCTCATCTCTTACCCTGCGGGGTCTCTCCCCTGAGAAGGGCAGAGATAAGGCGAAGATGGAGTCCCGGGCGCCGACATAAAGTGTTTGGGTAGCAGGATCCACAAGGAGAACAGAGTAATTGTACGTATGAGGGACAGAAAACCTGGTGAGATAGGAGTCAGCCTCTGGCAGGAAGACAGGAGAGAGGAAAATGGTGTCAGCCACTGATTCATAAGTGCTGGGTCCACAAGGGCAAAGCCAAAGGCGCCAATTTCTGTTTTCATCCAAGTATCATTTATTTAGCAGCCACCAGGAGACAATAGCAGAGCCTTGAGAGGCCAATCGTCTTTAATTCCCCAAAGACAGACAACTGATGAGACTAGAACATTCAGCACACAATCTAGTCATTTTTCTATGAAAATGAAATACTTAATTAAAATAACAGCATAAATACTAAGTGTATAGTTTCTGCTCGTAGCAATATAATACATAATTTGAAAATACCTATTAAGGTACAAGTACTTTGCTAAACTTTTTTCTTTTTGAGACAAGGTTTCACTACACAGTTCAGGCTGGCCTTGAACTCCCAATGATCCTCCTGCCTCAGGCTCTGAATGCTGGGATTACAGGGGTGCACCACCATGCCCGGTCACTTGGCTAATTTTTTAAAAATCACTGCTGAATAGTAACTTTCCCTTGTTTTAGGAATGCCTTATTTACTATTTATTTATTTATGATACTAGGATTTGAACCCAGGACTTTCCCAGTGAGCTACATCTTCAACCTCCCTCCCTCTCTTTTTGCCTTTTTTTTTTTTTTTTTTTTAAGACAGGGATCACTAAATTCCTAAATTGTCTCAGCCTAGGCTGAGGACTTGTGATTCTCCTACCTCAGCTTTCCAGAGTGCTGAGGTCACAGGCATGTACCACCATGTCTGGCCTAAATGTTTCATTCTTTTACCAACACATCAGGAGTCTAGCTCCTCTCGTCTACAATCCTTGACCTCTTCCCACCCCATTCCACCCAAAATGTGTAGTGGAAAGAGTTTGTGTTCCAGAAACAGTCCAGCCTGTGGTTAAATGTGGCTCTTCCACTTACTAGATGTTTGATCTTGAGGTTACTTGTCCACTCTAAGTATCTTTTTCATCTGGAAACAGCACCATCCACAGTTGTTGAGAAAATTAAATGAGATAATATACATGGAAATGCTAGCACACAACTATGTGTTTTAGAAATGGTTCCTTTCTTCCTTAGGCATGGGTTCTGTTTTTTGCCAAACATAAAACTCATAACAGGATTTTAAAAACTCTTAATCTATTTAAAGAATTTAAATAGATGAATTTACCTTCTTACCTTGACCTTTGGCTCTGGAGATTGAACCCCTGCACCAGTGCAGCTCTGCTCTACCTGCTCTTTCTGCTCAGGTGCCGAAGACAGTACACTGGCCACCAGACCATCCATCCTGACCTAAGCCCCACCTGACTCATCCTTCCACACACTCCCACACTTCTCCATATGCTGTATTCTTTCTACATTCTCATGCCGAACAACCCCACCTTCTTTTGTATCTCCAACACGCTTTGCCTTGCCTACTAGACCCCTCTGCATTCCTGGACACCAACTCCGTCTGGCAACCTTACCTTACCTTGTGGTTACTGCTCCAGTAGAACTGAAACCCCAACCACTGACCAAAACTTTGCCTTCTGGATTCATAACACCCCTACATGTCACTGGCCTATGTATAGACTTTAAATTACTATTGACCAGGTCTGGGAGCTTTGCTCAACAGGTTGTATGGTTCTGTCTGCCCAATGCATTAATAAGGTCCATGCCACACTCATATTCACCTCAGTAGTCTCTTAACCTTGAGGCATCTACTGGTTTCTCCTACATCTTTTCAAAGAAGTATAAGTCTTCTCTCCCTTATTTTTTTCTTTCTGAAGACTTTTCAAAATTATTTACACGGAACTTTATATCGACTCACTGAATGGTTTTCCAACATCTAATGCAATGAATGCACAGGTGGACCAGGGAGCCAACAGGAATTTCCGAGATTAAGGTGAATCTGGTAATGGGAAGATGGGAGGTGATGTCACAGATGGGAGGACTGGGAAGAAGGTAGGGAAGATTAAGGTTGTGAGCAGGGCAAGAGGGCTGGGTGGCTGTGGGGATGTTACTAATCATAGGGAAAGTTGGGACAATGCAGCTGGAGGTTCGGATAGAGATAGGTGGTTAAATTAGAAGGAAAAAACGAACGGTCTGGCAGAACAGGCTTCCAATTGAAGTGATGGACATAGGTGTATATGCTGGCAGAACAAGAGAATGAACAAAAGAGAACACCAAAGTGGACAACCTCCAGCAACCTCATTCCCTCCCTGGGCCTCTACGGTGCTCTGCAAACAGAGGCCGAGGACGCAGCCTGGGCGTGTCGTGCAGCCAAGGTGCGGTGCGAGGCCTGGCCGGGAAAGGGGTGCAGCAGCACCGCGTGGGGATCTCATCCAGGTTCAGCCGAGGATGGGCGCCGCGAAAAGCCGTGCAGCGCATTGGGACTCCCCGGGTGCTGTCGCTGGGTTGGGGGTGGGGTATGGATGACACCTGCCTGGAGGGCTGGGCGCGGTGTGAGGAAGGGCTGAGTGCGAGGGCGTCCGCGCCTTACCGGAGATGGGAAGCGAGGTCCTGGGCACCGAACGTGGGACGCGGCTGGACACTGGGCCGCTCAGCACCACGAGCAGCAGCAACAGCAGCAACAGCAGCAGCGGGAAAGGAAAAGTCAGAGGTGGCCAGGGGCCCAAGCGGGGCCGTGCAGCCCCGGCCAGCATCTCTGGCTCCGCCTGGCTGTTGGGTGGGGTGAGCCTAGCAGTCTCTGCTAAGGGCCGCGGCTACGTGGGCCTCGGCCCCACTCGGGTTTCCTCGGCAGAACTCGGCCTGAGCGGAGTTGAAACAACCCGGCTCCTCCCTCTCCTAAGGGACCAATGACAGAGCGCTTTCTTTCTCAAACCAATCAGAATGGAGTAGAGGCGGGGCTAAGGGTCAGGGGCCCAACCTAGATCTAGGCGGAGTTAGACACAGGTGTAGGGAAGAGTTGTACTGCAGGTGCGCGGGCGTTGTCACTCAGCAGTGGCAAGTTTACTCCAGGAGTTTGAAGACCTCAAATCCCTGTACCTGTCCTATAGGGAAAGTGTGTAAATGGGCGTTCGCACCAAAGTCCTCGAAATTACTACAATGTAACACAGGCGCGCGCGCACACACACACACACAAAGAGATAACATAAAAGATACTAAAAAATAAGTCCTTACCTTTAGGAAGCTCACAGTGCAATTAGCCACCCAAATGAAAACAAGTAACTCCAACTATATAAGTGCAACAGAGAGCAATGCATGCTTGCTGTAATAACGTGTATCCAAATGGGTAGGGTTTTTTGTCTGAGAAAGGGAAAAGGTTTCACAGAAGAGGTAGCATTTGAACTGAGTCTTCAAGGAAAGGTAGGTTTTGAAAGGTGAGGAGCAAATACTGGCGATGGACAGCTCCCCTTGAATATCCTACAGACAAGACAAATGCAGGTTCTGAACATAACTATCTCCCTCATCCTAATCCCAATTCTTTCTTAAAGCACTTAGTCCTTTAATTTATAGCCTTGTAGGTAATTATTGGTTTCTCCTCCTTAGTTGTCTAGGCTGCATAGAAAATTTAACAAATTATCTTCAGAACTTGGTGATTTGCAAAAATAAACATTTATCTTTCACAGTGTCTCTGGGGCAGTTTCAGGAGTAGTTTAGCTGGGTGCTGTGGCTCTGGTCTCTAATGAGATTACAATCGCGACATCAAATATAGTTGCAGTCATCTAAAGGACTGACTAGGGCTAGAGATCTACTTCCAATATGTCTGGAAAATTGATACTGGGTGTTGGCAGTTCTCCACATCGATTTCATGGGATTGCTTGAATGTCCTCACGACATGAAATGGCTTCCTCAAAACAAGTTATCCTGAAGGGCAAGGCAAAAGCCACACCATCTTTTATGGCCTAGCTTCAGCAGTAACATTCAATTGCTACTGCCACTTTCAGTTGGTCACATAACCCACTGCTAGTGCACTGTGGGAGGGGATAACATGAGATAGACTATGATGACTTCAATTATCCATCTTGGAGGCTGACTACTGTACCTATATGTAAATATTCACCATGTCCTGATAATTTTGACTCATAAACTATAAATTTATCCTTTTTCTTCCATTACCATCATAGTTCCGAATTTATTTTCACTTCAGAATGTTAAAATGAGCCTGGTATGATGGTACATGACTATAATTCTAGCTCTTGGGAGGTTGAGGCAGGAGGATCACCCTGAGTTCGAGGCCATCCTGGGCTACATAGATTAAGGCCAGTCCCATCTACACAGCAAGACCCTGTCTTTAAAAAAAAGTACAATGTTTAATTTCAAAATGCTAACTGCCCTGATTTGATTATCAGTATATCAAAATGTCACACAGTACCACCATAAACATCTATAATTAGGTGTTAATTATAAATAAAAATTTATAGCCAGGCATGACTGCACATGCCTATAGTACCAGCACTCTGGGAGGCTGAGGTAGGAGGATAAAAAGTTGCATGGGCAACTTAGGCACTCAGAGGGACTCTGTGTCAAAAGAAAAAATAAAAAGGGGTGGATACTGGGCATGGTGGCCCAGTTCTGTAATCCTAGCACTTGCGAGGCTGAGGCAGGTGAATCATTGTGAGTTCAAAACAAGCCTGAGCTACAAAAAGTGAGCTCAAGGCCAGCCTGAAATGCATAGTGAGATCCTGTCTCAAAGAGACAAAGACAAAAAAAAAAAGGTAGAGATGTATCTCAGTGTAAAGGTCCTGGTTTCAATCCCAATTATGGCAAAATAAAATAAAATATTGTAAGAAATAGAAACCACCAGTTTCCAATCTCTCCTTTTTGAGACTATCGTCAAGTGCTCTCTCCCAAGTACAAGTTCTAGTGTATTCCTTCAGGAGTTATAGAATGCCTACTATGTGCCAGACATTTTGCTACATATTAGGGGTAAGATGTAAGCCACAACTCTTGAATTCAAATTGTTTAGAGGAGAAATCAGATCTTGAGATCAGTGCTTCAAATCTCTCTGAAATCTCTTGAACTTTCCTTGAATTTCCCCCTCTGACATCAACATATTCCTCTCCTTAGTTACTTTCCAGCAAGCTGGTATAAGCCTTAGTTCCTTCACTGAACATGGGTTTAATATTGATTTTCTTTTTGTCTTTTGATTTTCCAAAAATATTTTTTCAAAATTTTTATTTCAACACATAAAAGTTTATTTTGTATGCCTACCTAAGCACATGTAAATGTACACATTCACAGTATTACTACTGAAACAAACTTTCCACAAAGTCATACTCATATAAAGTTTAGCTTTATTTCAGGTACTAAACCCTAATGTTTTCTCTTGTATTGCATTTTATCCTACTCCATTTTTTAAAATGCTCATTACAATCTATGAAATTAACATTAATACCCATCGGACTGGGGATTTAGCTCAGCGGCATAAGCGCCTGCCTTGCAAGCAGGCAGTCGTGAGTTCGATCCCCGGTACCAATAAAAAGGAAAAAGACAAAAAAAAAAACATTAATACCCATCAGTGAGTTGAGATCCTCACTTTAAAAAATTACTGTTTTAGGCAGTCTCATTCATACTGATTTAATTACTATTAATTTCCTAAATCTACATTTCCAGGTCACATTTCGCTCTTCAGGTGCTAAGATATCCAACTGCCTAATGGACATTTCTACTGAGTGTGACAATAGACACCAGAATTTTAACTTGTAATAAACTGAATTTTTATCTTTACTCCTAAACTAACTAGAGTCACTCAGTTGATAGTGGAATCAGTGTTCTCTGTCTTTTAACACCACTACCCTCATAGGCAGAAACTTTGCATTCATTTACTCAAGAAAATATTCATTGACTCCCTATCATGTTTGAGACCATCATCCTGGATTCCTCCTTTATCAATCCAATCAATCACTAAGACCGGTTTAACTTCTAAAATTCTCTACCATTCTCCCTATGTCTGCATTCTCTCTTCTAACCACTATTTTCTTCCTAGGCTACCTCCTGCTCTAGTCTTGCCCACATCCCCAGCTATCCACTACCCAACATCAGCCCCTAATACATTCCCTTGGAATAGGTAGAATGCTCTGTCCAGGACACAAATCAGATCACATTGCTCCTCTCCTTAAACATTTTCAGTCCACCTCTTCCCACTTCACCCCACCTTTGCTGTGGCATACAATCCAAAATCCTTAACATAACCTACAAGACCTTACTTACTCTGGCCTTTTGCACTATCTCTCCATTTTTACCACTCTTTTCCACATACAATACTCCAGACTGCCTGAGGTTCATTTCCTCAGAATTCCCCCTACATGGTATGTTTTCCATGCCTCTTCCTTGACTAATTCCTGTTTACTTTTGTTAATGTGGTACAGAAGATAATCCTTTTTCCCAGGAAGCATTCCCCAATTCTATAAAGCTATGCCTTTCTCATGTGCTCCATAACTTTGTGTTTTCTCTGCTACAGCATGCTTTGTACTGTGTTATCTGCTGTCCACTAAGTCCGTACTGATGATGCCAGGATTTAGGAGGCTAGGCAGGAGAATTGCTACAAATTCTAGATCAACCTTGGCTGCATAATGAACCCTGATTTTAAAAAAAGAAAACAAGCAGAGAGAATTATATTCTCAGAGCCTAGCACCATGTCTGACATATAGGAAGAAGTCAACAATCACAGTATTTGGTGAATATTTGTTTAATGCCTCTATCAGTGCTTATTGCATTGTTCAAATATTCAGATTTTAGTCTAGTTCCTTCAAAAGCAGATAGTGAGATAAAATTAAATGTGCAAGTATTTTATTAGAGCAAACATCTGTAAGACAAAAATAGGAAAGGAACTGGAAGGCAGTAGGACTGATGCAAGTCCAGTCCAAGAAAGGAAAAAGGAAAGCAAACATCCTAGACTGAACATTCAGCAAGGTGGCTGAAAAATCATGGAGTCAGAATGGCCCAGCAGAAGAGTTCGAGGAACAAGTCTACCTTAACATATTTACCACACTCTGTCATTGACTGGAAATACCCTGTGGGAGGAGGAACTCCCATGCAAACATGGCACTGGATTTGTTAGTCGGCAGCTGATGCTTTTGGTTAATCAAGCTACTTGTATTTTAAAAATACAAGGTACTCTCTGATGACCATTACAGTTTTTCACCCTCAGAAAGGAATTCTTTAGGGAATTTTACCATAGTTTCCAACAGCTGACACTATCCTTGGCATATTTTCCCAGAAAGTGCTACTCAGATGAATGGAGTAACTTACAGAGTACAGAAAGTAGTTTATTGTAGCCGGGAGCAATGGACAGAATGTTTAGAGTAAGGGTACCATTGGGGTGAGGTTGGTAACTATTGGGATTAGATCTGGTAAAGGAGGTGAGGTCAATTGTAATGGACCATATAATCAAAAAGGAGAAGTAAGTAGTTTTCAAGTTAAAGAATTAACATATTTTACAAGGATAATTTTAACATCAGACTAAAAGAAAAATGTGAAGGTTAGAGTCAGGAAAACTAATTTGGACGATCTGGGACAGAGGAGCTGTTGAGAAGCTACTCTTTCATCTTGGTTACTTTTCTCTCATTGCTGAGACAAAACACCTGACACCCAAAATTAGGGAAGGAAAGGTTTATTTAGCTTACAGGTGTTTTTTTGAAGGTTTCAGTCCATAATCAGCTGGCTCCAAAGCAGAGTGGCATGGCATTAGAGCAACACTTCAAGGCAGCAGCCAGAGAAAAAAAATGGAAAACAAGCCTCTTCTCTTCCCTTATATTGTACCAGGTCATCACCCCACCTTCAGGATGGGTGTAGCACTCAGAAAATCTCCTTG